CATATTGTTCGTAAGATGAGGCAAATCAAGAACCAGAACCAGCATACATATATTGTCATAAATAGTAACAACTTCTTGTTCTTCTAACAAACACATCTATTCCAATTTCTTGTTAATTAGTGCTATTATCAATTGTCGTGCTTCTCGTTCTACCTGGTCCATCACATGAATTCATTGTCATAGTTGTACAGTTATTCTTTTTTTATTTTAGATAACAGTTAAATTAACATTTTACTTACAATTACATTATGTATAGTGTATCTAACACATCATATGGTTTGTTTAGTAACAAAAAACTAATCGGTAATCTATAGTTGTTAGTTTTCATTCGAGAATTGATTGAAATGAGGTGGTGAGGTTTTGTCCACTTCTATTCATCGATTTTTCTTGACCTTAATCACTTTACCTAGTCTACAACAACAACAACAACGAATACTACTACTATCTACATTCAAGGAATGATCGGATATAGATGAATTACACCACGTTTCCGTAATAAGTACAATGGTTGGATTAACAAGGAATAAAAGAGTTTTAAGATGAATAATTTTATTAGACAGAGAGCGGGCATTGAACGAAAGAATAAGAAACTCAGAGTCATCATAGTGAAGCAGGTTAGAGTATAAATCGCAATTGGTAGTTCCATGAATACTCATAGGATTAGCTAAGGTAAGAGTTGTGTAAAGGGCTACTCATGTTGATATTTTATAAGGTACAACGGTCATAGAATTATGGGGAATAAAATTTCACATATGAGTGTAAATCATGTTAGTAAGACTCGTATTTTCAATATGTTGCGACGTGCAACTGATAATCGAGAATAAATTCACGTAAAGTTGAGAGCTTCTAAAAACCGTGACCTTATATCCCTACAGAACATCGGAGGCATTAATGATGACACAGGACGAAGTCACCCGTTCCATACATGTTTTCGGTAGCATATCTCGAGGGGACTGAAAAGGAGGGTAAGAAAAAAATGACAAAAAGTAGAGCAGACAATATTCATGCTTACTGAAGTCCAGTCCTTTGCGAAGGAATAGTTAAGGTATGAGTATTTAGTCTAACTCTCTTTTATTCAAGTACTTTTTAAGCAAGAGCATTATAATAGGTTAAAGAAAACAAGCGGAAGTATGGCGTTAATGGACAGAGAACTGTACAATTGGAGGTAGTTTAAAAGAAGCTGACAGTATATGAATATAAATAGTTTTAAAATATAGCACTGAAAAAGGTATTCCGATGCACAAATGTCTATCTCCCATTTTTGTCGAAGCTGTTTCAGCACATTTTTATTTTACTGATTTTATAGGGTCATGGGCAGGATTCATTTTTAGCGAATGGTCTTGTTTCGCTTCCAATAGAATTTCTCTGTAGGAAGTGAAACCGATTCCGAGTCACAGAATTGAAACGAAGAGGTTTTTGGCATAATACTTGGCATCGTTGCCATTAGTTCATAGCATCCCATTTGACCATAAGTAGCCGTAATTTAACAACATTTTCTACCCTATAGACATGAGTGAATTGAAGTTATCCCCCCACTATCATGCTTACTGGTCAGTTACGCCACCCTCCCTATTTTTGTATTGTTAGGCCTTCATATTTTTGTGGTATAAATGAATATTGCTTTAATCTAAGCTCCATGTTACAAATACTGTTGAAATACACTATCTCTGCTAGGAGGAGTAATACAGTTTTAACCATTAGAGGGATTATAATTCTGACAGTGAGAAGCAGGAGCATAAGAGCATGCCTAATAGACAAAGAATAATAGGAGAATGTAGACCATGTGTTCTACCGTCTGGTCATATTCATATTCATGACAATGGGATCCATTATATTCATGATCTGTCTAGATATTAGGTTGTCCATAATAAAATTACTCACTGGTGTGTGAGAATAGTTATTAAGGCTCTTTAGAGTCACGTAACAGGGTTTTAATCTTTTGAACTTGGTGATAGTGTCACAGTTGCGGATAATTATTGGAGACCTGTTACACAATAAGGTATATCGCACTGTAAAAAACCAACAACGCATTGGTTTTCGGTGCTGCACAGTATACAGTGAATATGCCTTGTTTCTGAGTCTCTACACTAGGTAATGGGTTATGGTTGGGCAGAATGTTAGAAAGACTGTTCATGTATTGCTCTGTAATGAAATATTACATTGTTCCTTAGCCGAAGGTGCCTCAACGCTTCTAAGGAGAGGTGATTACATTTATCTGTGTAGTCCAGAGTAAAGTAACATCTTAGCAGTCAGTGTGTGAAAATTCTTTAAAAATCTACTTTTATCTTATTTGTAGTATTCATGTTTGAGGAGATAAAATAGCAATAATCAAGGGAGGGTTTTATACCTAAGCTTAACCTCTGCTGTGAGAGGTTGATTGTCCTTCAAGAGATCGTTATTTTGGTAGCTAGAGTTAGAGGCAGTTATATCAAATGAGCTAGTGCAGTTGCTTGGAGAGTTTACTCGGGAAGAAAGAGTGAGAATACTCTGTAATCAAAACTGAACGGGAGAAACAAGTTAATGTTCCGTATGTTATCTGAAAAAGGTTTGAATAATTTTTTCTGGTTAACGTTTTTTAGCGAGTTAGTTTTCTACGGGATGGGAACGCTAACTCCATGCCCAACCCTCCCCCTTTATCCGGGCTTGGGACCGGTAGTATCCCCCGAAGGAACTCCAGGTGGGGGAAAAGAGGAAGACCAAAGAACGCATTACGCCGGAAAATGGAAATAGACATGAGAAAAATGAACGAGAATTGGATGGAACTAGAAAAGAAGGCCCAGGACAGAGTGGTTTGGAGAATGCCGGTCGGCGGCCTATGCTCCATTAGGAGTAACAGGCATAAGTAAGTTAGTAAGTAATGTTATCTGAAATGGCCTCAGCTATATGATTCAACAGAGGTGTCACTAAGGGCGGTCTTCTAAAAAAATCTGGTATAGGTTGAATGTAAAGTGTACTGTTGTTTGCGAAATACTTTTAATAGTTAAGCTCGTAGATTCTGTTATAGCTACTTGCGTCAATGTGAAAGTGAGAAGGATCTACTGCACGTAATTAGAAGTCGTTATAACAGTTACTGTACACCTTTATTGTGTGGTGGGTTGATGCTAAAGGATGATGAAAATTTTTTGGCAGTTATTGCAATTGGAATCCTGGGGAATGGAGATAGTGTGTTGGCTGAGAAACCTACTATTACGGCACTTATAATAGCAGCGAGGAGAACCTGTTCATTGTTGTTGGAATACCCACAAAACATTTGAGACCAAGCTTACGTGTTTCCCTATTCTGAATCGTGAATTACGTCTACCTACCCATTTTTGTCAGAACTGTAGAGTTTTGTTGTCTCTGTGAGATGAATTTAAGTTCCTTCGTATGTGTGAGATAAGCTATTAAACACTTGGGTATGCATTAACCATTAAGTGTCCGACAAAATTATTTACCCGGGGTAAAATGTACCCAACCTTCAAAATAGGGTGGTAATCTCAGTATAATGCATCCTACACAAGAACAACTTGGAATATTTATATGTCACGTGAAAAAGTGTTGCCACGTTCAAATTTTGTGCCTGGGTCTTATTGTCTTCGACACGAACATTTATAGTGCAACCAGCGAGATGTATAACACAGAAAACCTGAGAAATAGACATCTGACGTGAAAGTAACCCACACACAGTAACAGTTTGAGTGTTCTGGGAACCTAAAAATTCTTCTAGAAAGCTTTGTTTTAGACCAGTATGGTTATCGAAAATCGAAGATTCATCTTCATTTTGGGGAATGAGTCGTCCGTTTATTCACCAAAGTTGGAGGGCAAATGGATCCATTTTAAGGAAGCGGCTTTTGATCAGTCACCGGCGATGTTATTTTTAGTTCCATTTTTAACGATGGTACGGTTTTGAGTTCAAAAGAAATTCATATAACACTTTTTATGCTGTATCGATGCATGAAAAACTTTGTACCAACTCGTGAGACCGGCAGGATTGAAGCTGCGATTGACAGTAGTCAGGTAGGAGAGAGGTTTACTGGACACATCACTTTCGCACGACGGTTCACATAGAAGTTTGAGTCTACATTCTTCGAATAAGGTGAAAGATTTACAAACTCCTCTAGAGTTCGAAATGTCAGACTGTAAAGGAGTTGCTCTCACTTATATTCAACTCTGGCATTCACTGCATTGATAATCCTGAGTGAACGAAGTTACTAATTACTAAGAGGTCGTTCGAAATTATGTAATTCCAAAGAGGGTGGGAACGCAATGGTTCAAACTTGCAGTCACGGTCTGCAGTAATTGTAGGAAAGAAGTCTAAATCATTCATAACGTGACACACAGAAGTCCAGAGGGAACCGCCTGTTCTCCATTTTCTTCATTGAATGTAAATCTAAACTACTATAAAACAAATGAACTTCTGAAACTGATACTTAATCGAAGCCTATCTGTCATTGTGCTCAAGGCCAGATAAGTTCTCCCGAAGGATCTCAAACGATCGGATTAATACAGATTATCGATACTCAGATCATTTAAACGCAGAAAATGAAGCAAAAGTGAGATCATCTGCTTCGGTTGAGACCGATGAAATTAGTTAACATGGATAGAGCTTGAAAAGCGATCCATTACTTTTCTTTCGAAGGCAAAATGATGGAATCTTATAGTTTCAACGTACTCATTTCAATTTGTAGATTATATAATACTTTGTTTTTCTTCTTCTCGATTCCCGTCCTTGTGAGTAGGCGCCGCGCTTGTCTTGTGTCAGTCCTTTAAGCTGTAATGACGTTTGATTGGTTAAAACATTGTAACTGTGGATCAGGCATGCTTTATACCTGTTTGAATAATCTTCCAATGTTATTTAGTAGATTTGACTCAGCTTGCCAACAACGCTCTATCCTTAATTAACGTCGAACCTTACATTCAGAGTATTCATGAAATTACTCCTGATTTCGTCTTTGACTTAGCAGTTGTCTTATTTGGTAGCGATATTTGTAAGTTGCCAACAAATTTCTTATGATTATTAGTGCCTCGTCGTGGTCGCGCTGAGACCGAATGTGTAGAAAACTTCGAGGCTATTGTGTTCAAATTGTCTGAAGAAATAGGAGTGGACTTGGATCACATTGTACCAGAAGACCTTATGGTTGGAGAACCCAGAGCATTATCGGATTTTCTTGTCCTGCTAACCGCATTTATTGCCTACTGTCATGAATCGAACCTTTTGGAGCTCCAAATATCAGCGAATGAGTCTTCCTCTGAGTGTTCAGGCCGCTTGATTACTAACTCAAAAGTAAATTCAAAGACAGAGAAATTTCTAGGTAATTTACATGCTTTTTCACATAATAAAAGTCTGTTAATATGCTTATCACCATATTTCTCACCTGTCAAGTTAATCGATCTCGAACTAAGCAATGTGTCTAAAAGTTTTTACTAATATTGTGACCCCGGGGTTCTCGATGGTTTATTCACTCCTGTAAACTGAACAAATCAGTATTTTTTCAAGTAATTGTAATGTTTACCTGTTAAATCTATCTTTTCTGTTTCCTACATTGCTTATAATCTTTTGAACTTTCCCAAAAGCGATTTTTGCTGTCCCTTTGTGGGAAATGCACAGCCAGATAGTAACAGCGATTCTGAACCATCCTTCATTTTCGCGTTCGTCTAATTCGCAATAGTTTTCAGAGGGTTTTAGTCCACGTATTAAATATACACCAATACAAACTTGTTATATTTTTATGTCTACCATCTTACCCCCATCCCAAATGGTTTGGTACAGCAGAGAGTTCAGAGAGCCATCTTCCTTTGTAGATATGCTCATAGGGTTACGCGTTTGTAACCTCTGTCAAGGGAATCCTACTCATTGCATTCTCGCGGCGTGGCCGTAGTACAGTAAAACAAGAAGATGGGACGCGGATTGCTGGCGCTTAGACCGAGTTAGTAGATACGGAGTATTCACCTAGAGGAGTTAGAAGACTGTAACTCCAGTGGTATGCATTAGCTCCAGGCTCCTGAGCAAACGAATGGTGTCGGAATCTGTTGGTTACTGGTTTCCATAGGTCTGCATCTAATGTAGCTTTATGGCCTTGTTTCCATCCATCACTTCAAACCTGAGTCATGTATGCATAGCCTCGCGCCGAGGTGTCATCAAACCACGACTTTAATACCTAAGTTTTCACACAATCAATCGCTTAATAACACTTTGTCTTGATGTTTTTTTTATTTCTCGTGATTTGTCACCATGATCGCTTCAGGGAAGTCTTTCACTACAGAAGGTAGATCGAATATATTTCACACCATTAAAAATGTTATTCACCCCTTCAATGCTCGCCTTTAGAAATATGCGCCCCTTTGGATGAACACCCCGCTGACGTTTTTGGGAATGATACTGCCGTTCCATTCAGAGTATTCATCCGAACTGTGAACGTGATTTGCTTTGTGCCAAGCTAATCTTACATTTTAGTGGCCAGCGGACGTCTCATCCCAGACTGAATAAAATGACTAATGAGGCTGTAGTTTCTATTACAATCAAATATCAAACTAAATTTAGTTGATGTCATGTAGTCAGTACATCAACATATGTAGATGAGTACTGGATACGTTCGGCTGATGCTGTAAAAATGGAAGGTTTTGTCTCTTAAAGCTTTTCGAGACGTCCGGCTAATAAGCAATGGAAGTCTGTAATCCTTCCAACTCTTGAGGTATGATGGTCTGTCTCGGGTAACTGCGATTATTTCTTAAGTAAAGATATTATGAAGAGCTTGTGTAAGGACCAGGAAGTCTAGCGATCAGGGCGTGCTAGCAAGATAGAAACATCAGCTACACCCGGTAACTCCCTTAGACTCTTTCAACTGATTCGAGCCACTCGCAAAAGAAGTTTGGTATGTGAAACAAACTGTGAAGCTGATAGGGCACCAATCAGCAACATCGTAGACGTATAATAGAGTTATTCGATGAACATTTCAACTGATCTGCTCATACAATAACATCGATCTGACTGTCCTGTACTCCATGAACGGTAAAGACTGGTTCATGTAATGAGGAGGTAGTCTAAAAAGAACCTCTACTCAACTTTGTAATCGATGAAATTTTGAAAATAGCTTTAATAGGATCAGGTAGTGGCGGTGTGGATCTGTTACACTGGGAAAGACTTTTCGACTTTGCGTATGTGGAAAATATTACCTTACTGTGTGATGATACTTAAGCTATGCAATATGTACTTATTCAGTTGAAAATCAGTGTCCATGAGTATGATATGTATTTTTCACCTTCTAAATGCTAAGTACTTGTATAAGACTGACAGGAGCATTCTCATTCTTAGTGATGAGCCATTAGAAGTAGCCGAAACGTTTATGTATCTGAGTGGTTGTGTGAGCTATGAGATTACTCCATGTATGGTGAGCCATAACGGCGTATGCCAACCTGGGACATTTATAGTGCCATCGCTATGCCTCATACATTGAAATCACTCTTCCAGGTCCAAAAAAACTATTCTTTTAAGGTGCGGACAGCAAAGTAGTGCCAGTCACCCTCATCGAGGAAAATGGATCGATGTACTTAGCTTTGGGAACCTTTATTTGAGAGTTAATTTTACCTGACTGCCCAAATGAAAATAAGTGGGGTGCTCTAGACTCCCGCCTGCGGGTTTAAACTTGTGTACTTCAGTTACTCAGCCACAATCTGCAGTTTTTTTTTATCTATCTCTTACATGCTCCAACAACCCTTTAATGTACATGGAGCTGTTTTTGAGTTATGTAGTTATTCGATCCTAAACAATTTGTTCTTAAGTTAAAACGCTTCATCTACTTTGGTCTGACCGTAGTGTTAGTATCATAAACCACCTATTACTTGGTCACTAATGTGCATTATTGATAACCTATACTCCGTTAATAATGATTGTCGCAATCAGCTCAGAGATATATAGTTAGACTTAAATACCTTTATAAAGACATAAGCTTTATGGATAAAGCTATTGGCTGGAGTACAAACGAAAAACATTCTGGTGGTTTATCTATTCTTTCAATTCAAATCTTACTTATTTCCTTCTAAATTTCGAAAAAGCCAAAACTATTTGAAATGGAGCAGAATACTGTTATTAATTTTTATTCACCAAAGTGATGATGCTGAGAAATCACAAGATAATATCTTTTACTAACATACTTTGACTAATCTTGCACGGTAATAGTTACCACAGGTGATGTACTGTCTAATAAACAAAGCTTTGAGACACTTCATGATCTTATTTGCAAGGAGAACTCGTACATCCCATCGGTATAGATCACCAATTGATCAATCACTATACTCCATAATGTAAGATCCTCCAATTTCAAAGCTGTTAAATCAAATGTATCTCATGGGGATTTGTATTTCAAGGGGAGGAGTTTGTTTACCATAACCAATACAGTAAGACTGAGGAGGCTCGTTTACTGAATTCATTCCATACTTTCCAAACCTTCAACTACAATACTAATAACAATTTCGACTGCTCTCTTATTTCCTTCCTATTCTCTTCATTTCAATCTTCTGCCAGGCATTTCACTTCCGACTGGTGCTACATACTACTTTTATCTGTCAGCATAAGTAGCATACACATATATAATCTAGTTACCTAATAGTTATACAATATGAATATGCATAATAACAGTCTATAAATAATTCTCAGAAGTTACCATTCATTTAATTTACTTCAAATACAACACTTTCTTGCCTTATCATCTTGTTCCGTATCGGTTATTTTTTATTTTCATACCGACATAGGGTGGTCTCATATTGTTTATGTAGACTAATAAATTAATATGATCACTTTGTGTAGAAATTTTTAGTCTCACTGGAGTTTGATTTTGTGGATAAATTTCAAGTTTTGACACGTTGATAATAATGATTTCAATAAAACGATATGCCTGACTTTCAAATAATTTGAATGTGAAGTCTTAATTCTCTTGTCTGTACCCCTGACTATAAGTAATGACAATCCAGCATTATGGACTTAAGATTACATAATTAAGGTATTGTGTTTAGGTACTACACAAAAGTAATTTAGTGGTCGTCACAGTAACCTGTTTGATCTACTTTCCTTTTTGACGTGCACTCATATACAACAGAGCTGATTGTTATGACCTGTCCCTAGCTGTCCAAATCGATCAGTAAATAGAAGCAACCAAAATAGCCTTCAACTGAACGTGCATTATAGCCACAGTGACTTTTTATACAACCCACAACTACTTAAAAAATAAGGTTCATTCACAACCGACGATAATACAAGGGAAAATCCTGGATATTTGTAGAAATGGTAATTGCATCCTTGTGAACCAGGCATATAGGATCTAGGCCTTAAAGTCCCTGGTCTAACTATACCCACACAATTTGAAAATTTGAATCAGTAATTATTGAAAAACTCGTTTCTCAAATGATGTGAGTCGAATTCTTGTGAAGTAAAGCGTATGATATTCATTGGAAATTAGATATTAACAGAAGTTAATAATATGTTATGTTGATCAATGAACCTAATGGATAATTATTTAAATGTTTTGTCTATTTTTGCGCATAATTTACGCAATCCAATGAGTTTTTTTACAATTTCAATGGAAATGAACGGTGCCCATGCTTACCATTGAAGAGTGTATCAATGAAGTGCATTAGCATTTTGAAGGCTGTTTACTACTAGTTTTCAAGTCAGAGCTTATATCTAACTATCATCGGAGTTATCAACTTCAAGTGATGTTCACCGGCACTGTCCACTATTCCCTTCATAGACATACATTTACAGATAACACTTTTTTATAACTCAGAGGTTAATCTCCTTGCTGTGGGATCGTTTTTTAGTGTAGAACAAGCAGGCGATATAGCTCTGTCTCGTGATGACGTTGATAAAATTCAGTCTTCTGATCTCTTTAAACAAGCATGTTTCGGATGCATCTCTTCTCATGTGTGTAAAAGTGTGCAACTTACTTGATTTGTGTTGCAGTAAAAACTTTATGTTTACAAAAAACGTTTCAGCAATGGTCATTTCTGTTATAGAGCGTGTTTGAACTGTAGAATATGCTGTCAAAATCATTTAGTCTTTGATCAGTCGAAAATGGTGTACTAAAGGATATATGTGAACCCTTGGTTCATATGTTTGGGTCTTGATTCATGCATAAATGAACAGCAAATTTCTAAAACTAGTTTTCTAAGCTCATTTAATAAGTTTTCAATGTGAGGAAATATAATTCAATGTTATACGTTTATGTACCCAGCGAAATAGTTAATCCATACATATATTGCTATAAATAGTAACAACTTATTGTTCTTTGTACAAGATTTATTCAAATTAAATTTAATAGTTGATATCATGAGTCAATTAAAGGTAGATCACCATGAAAAGCCTGGAAGCACTGGACGACAATTTCGTCCTATTATGCGATACCTCAGCGCGAGAACGCTGAACCTCGAAAACACTGAACCGATAAATCCTGGCTTCGAATCCCGCGAGAAAGGACCGTGGATAAGCACTGCTGAGAAGTCCCACAATAGAACGAAATTGTCGTCCAGTGTTTACAGGTTTTCCATAGTGATCTCGCTTCAACTGACTCATGATCTCAACTATTAAATTTGATTTGATCAAAACTTTATAAGTAATAAATAAAACAGTTAGAGAAACAGAAATAACGATTAAGTGAAATACAAGAGATCAAACTAGATTGTTTTTAAAAGAAAACAATAACAACAGAAGAGGTGCATGAAACTCTTCTATAAGCCTATCACTTCTACATGTAATCAACCTGGTTACACATATTGTTCGTAAGATGAGGCAAATCAAGAACCAGAACCAGCATACATATATTGTCATAAATAGTAACAACTTCTTGTTCTTCTAACAAACACATCTATTCCAATTTCTTGTTAATTAGTGCTATTATCAATTGTCGTGCTTTTCGTTCTACCTGGTCCATCACATGAATTCATTGTCATAGTTGTACAGTTATTCTTTTTTTATTTTAGATAACAGTTAAATTAACATTTTACTTACAATTACATTATGTATAGTGTATCTAACACATCATATGGTTTGTTTAGTAACAAAAAACTAATCGGTAATCTATAGTTGTTAGTTTTCATTCGAGAATTGATTGAAATGAGGTGGTGAGGTTTTGTCCACTTCTATTCATCGATTTTTCTTGACCTTAATCACTTTACCTAGTCTACAACAACAACAACAACGAATACTACTACTATGTTTGTGTAACAGTTGGAGAGACTAGGAAAAAATCTCTTAATTGTATTGATTATCTCAGTCTTAACCAAATATAAAACTGTTCACAGAAACCGGTTCATGCACTGGATATGTATGTGTTCACATGACTGTGTAGGTAGTTGTTCGACCACTAATATGTAACTGTTATTTGACTGTGAAGTTTAAAAGTGAATATGTATTTGACAAGTGAATGAGATGAAATCATCCAGTTTGAAAATAACTAATTGTCCATTTATTACTGAATGCCAAAATGTATAATGAGCAAAAGTTCAAAGGAAATATTCAGAAGACCGTCACCAAAACGGTTTTTTTATTTGTAATATGAGGTTTTTGGTACAATTAGAAGTCATAGATCTTAAAATCAACTTCACTACCATTACACCTAAAATATTACCTGATCCCAAAATTATTTACAGTGTTGCAATTCTTCATGAACAGAAATTATCAGCGTCCTCAAGTTGAAAAGGTCAAGTTTAACCAGGATAGAGAGAGGTTACTCTTCCCTATACATATATCCAACCTTTAACAGTCAGAATGCCTCCATACGTACTGGGGTATGTAATCTTGGGTATGTTTTGCCCACTATATTTATGTCATGGTGTTTTTACAGAAACGGAAAGTCGGATACTAGGGTGGTGGGTACGAACAATCAACTTAAGAGAGTTTTAAAACCCTGATTCCTAATTATATGGTCTTTAAGATCCAAAGTGAGCAAATATCGTACTTCGCCAGCTACCATAAAATTTCATTTGATTTCCGAACACTAGCTTTCAGATCATATCTTTTAGTCAATAAGTGATGAGATTAAAACCCGCCTAACTTTTAAGGGTTGAACAACTTCATCACTGATACAGTATATCGATTAGTATTTCACCCTTCTATTTACGTGTTTATTGAATTATATTTTTTAAATTCTATTTAACTTCGGTCATAAGAAAATCTTAATTAAACAATGTCAATATTTTACCGTATATTTCGTTTATTTATTTGTTTACTCTAATTGAAATAAACCTTTTAGAATGCCAGCTATCTACTTCTCCTGAATTACCACGTCATAGTGTGACTTGTGCACCCATGTTTTCTACATCCTTTCACCAATCTGATCGGTCTATTGATCAAAGTACACCAGTGAAGCGGACTCCAGCATCTTTCCAAACTAGAAACCCTTATCCACCCGTTGATAATGTCAATTCATTACTACAAAAATCAAATTTATTTGCAGTCCAATCGGATAACTTGAAACCAAGTTATCCTGTTTCTTCGTGTCTTTCCAATTTCTTAGAGGTACATACAGACACTTCACCTCCAGCAACACCAAATGCAATGAATGGATATCTAGAAATCGTCCAGTAAGCTAACCTTATTTGGTTTTATACCTTGTCGTAAGTATCATTACAAATAAACGAGCCTAGAATGATTTCTCTAGAAACGCAAAATTCGAGTGATGTAATACCAAGTGGGTTCAAGAACATTTAGATTAGTTTAACATTCTGCGCTGGATTTTAAAGGTTATCTAACTGGATAGCTTGTTTTCTTAATTCTTGTATGCTTCATTACTTGGTACCTCTTTAAACCAAGATTTTCTAGCTGAACTAGAGAATAATAAATTGTTTTCATTGAATTCTCACAACAATGTCACTAAAGTGAATGTACTATGAATAGCTTCCTTCAACTTTAACAATTATGCCACGATCTACACCGAGATGCATTCCAAGTTCACTATAATCAGTTTCAGCATTTTATTTCTGTGTTCTACTCACATTTAATTGATCTTTTTTGCTTTGAACACAAATCTGCCTCTATGTCTTGAATAGATTATTATTCCCGATATTTCCGTTATATTTTGTCTTGTTTACTTTTAATTTTAAAATCGGATATTAACTGTGATGCAACGTTTAGGTAAACGACAATGTTAATTGTCAAACAGATTGTCTACTCTTTAATATTTAATACCCCAAATTACGTTCATTAATTTCAGGTACAATAAGTTTTAAACTTCATTCATAGGTAAAAATAATATTACCCGTTTATCCAAACTAAATTTGGATAAGGACCGAATTGAAATCAGTGATCCATTACCTGAAATTCAAACATTTTACCCACTACAATTGTGTTTTTTTGTCGTGGCGTAAGTCAGTTTGCTCATAACTGTAATATTCCTTTCCTGGAACATCGGGCATTTAGTACATATACCAACCTAATGTGTTAGGTGGTTCTTGTCATCTGTTCTGTCATCATGTTATCGACCGATGTTGCGCTCTTCTATATTATATATTATATTATATCCAAGTCTAAAAAGTATGCTGGTTTATTATTTTTCTATAAAAGTCTATGAAGATTGTTGAGTTTTGTAGTTTCTCCTCCTAGACTAACCTTATTTAGACAACCACTGTAAACCAGGAAGCACTGGAAATCTGCTTCATTCTAGTATAGAACTTTTCTGGAGTCCATATACATGATCACGTTAGTAATCGAAGCCAGAACTTTCGAGCCACATGTCCAACTCCTTTGTCTGAGGGTAAGGCGCTAGCCACGAAACCTGAAGGCTCTTGGTTCTATCTCTAGTGTGGCTGTGGATGTACACTGCTGAGCAGTCCAATATTAGAACAAAACAGATTTCCAGCGCGCTTCGGTTTTCACTAGTCATCTAACTAAAGTCGATCCATGATGTCACAGTATCCTGAATGATTTATGTCCCTATAAGGAGTTATTACTAAATTAGTGCAGATTTTTTGTTTCATAATATATATATTAGATAACGAGACTCGAAATGCTATCGTTAGGCTACTGTGTTGGAATTTATTTGTTCAGATTTTTCAACATGAATTAATTTACAATATATCTTTGCCACAAAATATTTTCATAAATGGATGAAAAGTGAATGTCCGGCGCTTCAACCGGGTTGGTGGACACGGAGAGTCCACCGAAGGCAGTTGGAAAACCCTGATCCCAAACCAATGGTGCACATGAGCTCCAATATCCTGGAGGAACAAATGGTGTATGAACCTGTTGTTGGCCACCGGCTACCACAGAATTGCATCTCCTGACGTTGCTCCTTTGCCTTGTGGATCAGACCCTTAGGTCTAAGGCTTTGGTTATTGCCCCCTAAGAAAACCACCATCTTCATTCTGGGCACCCGGACAGTATCCCAGCCCTCACACAAATCAAGTGATTTGTGTGGCGCATATGTATTCAGTACCCCTTTGTACCAATATTTATGTGTTCAAATAAATTAACTAAAATATCATGGTTGCTGAAAACCCCCAAGATCTTGTACTTAAATATATTATTGGGTTAAATATATCCCCACTAGTTAATAGTTACCAAACACTTCAATATCTTCTCGTTTACTATCGTTTTATATACGTTCTAAATTAATTTAGTTAATTGTATTAGAATGCCTTGTAGAACAGATAGTTCAATAGAATTGTTTATAATGTTCTAGTACATTTATTTATGTTTATGGATCGGATTTATACTGAAACCTTTTTTTTTGGAACCTACTATCTATTCAATTGAGTTTTGTTTCTAATTCTGAACTATAGAGAAAAATCGATTACATCCTATCATGTTTCGATCAAAGAAACTCATTTATTTTCAATAGAAATACAATCGATGGAGATTGAAAGAAAAAAAATTCTCATCATCTTTATGATATGATCATGTTCTACGTAGATCAATTTTCATTGGTCATTGCATTCTAAATTTTGATTGGTTAATTTTTTTATTTATTAGATTTTCTCCCCCAGCAACAAAAAAAGTTTATGTTGCGTATTGCATATATCAGCTGTAGAAAATTTTTGTATCCAGGTTAATTACACAGTGTGATGATTAGTATGACTTTTCTCAATATTATAATCTATTATGATTTTCTTGTAATTATGAATGTTATTATGCGTTATATTCATCATGCGCACTTCTGAGGAGTCCCACAATAGGACGAAACATTTGTCCAGTGCTTCCATGTTTTCCATGGCGATCTAGCTTCAATTGACTCGTAGTCTCAACCATTGAAATTATTATAATACCCACAAAAACCCTTCTGATATTAATGGAATATATAGCTGATTTATTTATTTGAATCTTATTTCTTATTCCGTGTGTTTTACAATAATTTCCTTTGTTTTGTTTTGTTTTATGTCATAGTTCTAATTTATCCGATGCAGATATTCTACCTAGTTTAGAGAATTCTTTGAATATGCAACAATTTATGCCTAGTTCTCCAGTTGATGAATTTAAGAAATTAAAAAATTCTGGCTCTCATTTAACACGTTCACCTAATAAGGAATATTTTGGAAGTAGAAATTTTGTAAGTTGCACTATTTTTTTATTGTCTTGTTTATCGTTAAAACATTGAACTTTTAAATTAAATGGCTCTTATTAGATGGTTATAACGAAGTTATACTATTCAGTCTCTGACAATTCAGACAAGAGGTAGTGCTCAGTAGCGTGATTGTTGCCAAAGTTTTCTGCTTTATCTAAGTTAAACTTTCGTACACCTCAAACTATCTTGAAATATCCAACCTGAACAAACTTCCAAGTATCTGGGGTTGAGTTATGAATTACAACAAAATATGACGTAATATTTGATGTTTAATTAGTGTAGTGTTCTGCCCTACTGAGGACCAAAACAAGCAATGAATCTGGTCTTGATTTCACTTCAAGTAATTTGCTTTTGAATTAATCTTGTGACAGTAGAATGCTTTTAATAGAATTATCTTAAACAATTCTATTTAAAATCGACTAAATTTGTTCGCTGTCTTTCTGTGATGAAGATAATGAGATCAGAAAGTATCCATTGACGTAGACTGACATTTTTGCGGTATCATCTTTAACCTCTGAGCAATTAGTGGTGGCTAGTAGGCATAGTACCGCACATGTGTACAAACTACTAATCTAGTGAACTTGGATTGGCAAGCCCTATTCGAATGTTTTTAACAACTATGGCTTATCAAAGTGTGATACATTGTACTCAATAGTACAGTTGGCTTAATAAGCTATCAATATTTCAAACCATTCGTTGCCCTATCTTATTATCATCGACAGGATTTCGACTTCTCAATTTACTGGATATGAAAAAATAAGGGCATTTCTGAAGTGCTTAAACTAATAATTTTCTCACCGATCTCGATCTTGAACGAGAATAGATCTTGGAAAACGTATGTAACAACTGAGGTTTTTATACTACTCTTTATCCTTATAGATTTCAGTGGGGAAAGAGCGTCAATCATAGCTTAATTCTGTGGATTCGTAAACCTTAAGAATTGTCTTCTGTTGCTTACGAACTGAAAATAATAATCTCATGTTTTTGAAAAAGGAATGTTTGTAATCCTATCATGTTAACAGGATGTAAACTAGCATAGAAGTAGAATGACGAGATTAATGTTTATGAAAAGAAACTTGTCGGAATCATTTACACAGTTACTACCTGTATAAATATGTTTTCGAAATAGAAAATTACTGTTATAGAGTACATGATTTCAGCTATAAAAAAGGTAGATTGACTGAAGTTGTAAGTTAAATAAAGCTTAGATGTATAAAAGAAAAAAGCCCTTACCAATAAACTTATAAATATGAACATGAAATGCTCAACTAAATATATGAGGACAATAAAAGATGAGTAACAGATTATCTCATCTGCAATTCCCTATATTTTTGTGTCCATCTTCTCCAGAGTTTCTTATTTAGACATACAGATGTGTTTCTTTTGTCTAATAATTTTTTGTTCTCTCTTAATCAGATTTCTGCTGAATCTACTGTGTTGGATGATCAGTCGTCATTACATGAACATAAAGTGCATCTTTCTGCATCCTCAAATAATATCAATAACAGAAGTGTTTCATCCTCTGTTGAATTAATTCATAAGTCAATTAGTGATAAACATGATAGTTCAAGTAGTGGTCGTGGTCGTAGTTTAACAGTTACACAAACAGTTCCTTTTCAATCTAATACATCACCTCCTTCAAGTCTTCTTGAATTACATACTTTTCCAGATTCACGTAATACAACTCATAATTATCCTATAGAGCATAATAATTCCTATCCTTCTCAGAAATCTTTAAACAAACTTATATCTAATGAGAAAATCAATAATAGTTATGATTCTATTCATACAAGTAGTATATTAGCTTGGAACGAAGAAAATGTTAAATATAATAAGAAAATAAATAAAAATGAATTACATGATGGATCATTAGATGAATTAACTTCACTTTTATCAACTAGTTTAATATCTGATACAGAAAAAGTTTCAAATGAAATATCTGGTCATTGTCCAACTACTTCGGATATTTTAACTGAAATTAATGACTTTGCTTGTATACTTGAAAACGACTAAATTATTTAAGGTGAGTAAATGATCATTATTGTTATTATAATATAATTATAGAATGGGTAGTAAATGTTTACAACATTTTCTCAACTGTGATGACTTACTTTTCCTGTTTATTGGCAGAAATTGGTTCGGAGTCTTGTACAAACTATAAGTCTGATAGTATATTAGTACCAAAGAAAAATTATTCAAAGAAAACAGTATGACAACATTTCAAAGGCATAAATTAATAGGGAGTTAAAAGATGTATTAATTAGTTTGTTTTTTCATGAATAACTCTAACCATTATCATTTTTACAAGTCTAAAATTGTTCATTTTGTATTAACTGTATCCATGCTATCTCATCATATTATTTGCTTTGTTTTCAAGGAACTCATTCAGTACTCAGAATTTAAGATTAGCTGAAACTATGATTGTGACTACGCTTATCACACTACTATATGTTATCTGTAATCCTCAGACATTACCAACAGACTGATCGAATTAAATGTGTATCCAGACAGATCGACTAGTTATGGGTATAATAAAATCAATAACTAATGAGTATATATATATATATATATATATATATATATATATATATATATATATATATATATATATATATATAGACTCACGTTGTCTGATCAGTGTTGTATAATTGTTATTGTTAACTACTCAATAGTAACAAGACGTCTAATTGTCTTATATTTCCTTATTTGAACACTACTTCTCCTTCAAATTGTACCTGCTAGCTAACGGATTATAATGACATAACGAAGTTGAGTCAATTGTTTGCTTTCAGTTAGTAAATTGAAGATTTTTATGAGGAAATCGATTTCATAAAAACCAGAAAATAGTGAATAATGGGTTGTTATGTTGACAAAATCTATATGAAATTTAACTATATAACTGCCGCTTGGTATCATATTGTACACCTTGTTGATTTAAAGTTTTATGGCATTCTGTCTTCGAACAATTCGAGCCTATTAAAATTACGGTTTAGTGGTATGTCTTGGTCATACTTATTTTTAATTTGAATCGGTATGATCTCATTATATAATAGGCTTTTTTTGTCTCTCTGTTTTACAGATCTGTTTATTTTCGTGCACATTCGGAAGCTGAAGCATTGGCTGGTTTAGTTCAATTGGTCACATCAAAAAGTTTAAATATTATTGAACCTATGAACAACAGTCAAGTTAATGACAACAACAATAATAGTATATTAAAAAATAGTCCACTTAATGTACATGAGAACCATTTGCATTTAGAGTCTTTATTAGTTAAAGCAATTGATCGTATCGATCAACTACTGGAAAAATACATTACTCCTTGTTCAGAAGTAATTCAAAATAAACATAGCAATTGTATGAATTCTGCAATATGTTTACATCCTAAATCAGAAAAAGTTGACAACTTTCCGACAAATCAAACCTACTTTCATTCAAAGAATTCATCTAAGTTCAGTTCTTTGTATGATGATAGCTATTCAGATGTAGAGTTGAAAAAGTTATTGGATCTCAAACATGAGTATGTTCAATATTATGCTTATTCTTATATGATCACATTTTTAACATTTAATATAATTCTTTTTTTTTGGATACATATTACTAAGTTGCTAATGTATCTTAATCACATATTGTATGGTCAGTTAGATAGACTGTAAGAGTGGATACATGTAAAACAAACGATGTATCATATGAATACATAAAGCTATATTATAACAAGGTGTTTAACTTTTCTCATCATTGCATAACATATGTCTCATGGTATTAAAATTTATTGACAATAAATAGTTCTCAATAGATTATCTCTGAATTAAGTAATCTTTTAAAATTTGATACTTCACTTTCCGATCTTATAGACTCAGTCAGTCATTCAGCTACAATATAGGATCAGGCACATATATGCATCGGTCAAGTTGCCATACCTCATTAGCACTACAAAATCAACACCGGATTCATAGAAGTAGTGAATTCAATAATGGTAATATATAAAAGAAAGATTGTGTATAAGGAAGAAAGAATTAGTTTGTAGAAAGAAAGATATGAAGCGATTTTAATCTCATAGTTTAAGAGAAGACAGAGTGTATACACCTACGCCATTGTGATCGATTCTAAGCCATGTCATCCAGAGTTTTCAACCATTGGTTTCATACAATAAATTGATATCAAAATAAAGAAATTAAATAAGTAGAGGAAAAAAGTAGATATGATGAAAGTTAGGTTACATTATCGATTTTAGCATACGTTGTTTGCCTATAATCAATAATCATCCATTAAATTGTGTATGTAAAATCATGTGAACTCTAACAAGGAAGTTTTATATTCTCTTCCCCCGCATCCGCCAATGTATTTGCTACTTATTGGTTGAAATAGATAGTAGTTATAGTCCATATGTTATTTCATTACCTTTTTTTATCTACTATTCTATGTGTTACACTAAACACAATAGAAAATCTTGAAATGTATGCAATTATTTAACTAACTTTATCTGAATTTTCTTTTCCATTAACACCTCAACCTAACTACAATTTTTAAAAGTTGTGGATAAATTAATTTGAACTATCAATTTATCAGTCGAGTTGAATGTAACCAACATCCCTCATACTGGAACTAATGATATAACTCATCCAAACCAACTCAAATGGATTTGATAGGTTCGGACTCAAGATTATGTAGTTGGTAGTTGGATATTTAGAACAATGAAATACAAATCCATTTAAGATAGTTATTAAATGCACTAACCAAGTAAATATTTTTGTTTTGGTCGCATGAAGTATCTCATATTCAAAAGTCTAACCGTCATCATGATCACTAGGATGTGACAATATCCCTTCATATCTCATATAATAGTATTCATACTCTACATGTAACATCTAGTCGTTACTGAAATGCTGTATATGTGTACTAATATATGTTTGTTTGACCAAGGCCAATTCTTCATGTTTAGATAATCCAAATCGGTAATGAGGTCGCTAATCTTCATCGACTGAAGTAGTTAGGACATATGTATGCCTAACTACTGTCCCTACATCAACAACCGATGCTTGGTAGTGCAGGATTAAGTTGAAAGAAAGCTAAGAGAGGACAGACCAAAACGTCGCATCCGTCCATAAAGTCACTGAGTTTTGATCCGAACCATATAGGTTTCTACCCACTACCTCTTACGGTTCACGTGATAACAGCTATCAGTGATTGGGGACGGCATGACAGCTTGGAACCGTTCACAATGCGGCAGGCACATTCATTCTTAGTCTTCCTCTCAATTTTGAATTCCAGTATCCTTCCACATGTACCTTTCCACTTTGTTTTTTTCAAACCATATTCCTAAGGTCTAGTTTTTATTTCTCACTGCTACTATATTATTTCAATCTCGTTTTTTTACTTTCATCCCGTCGTGGTAATGTAGTATTACAATTTGAGCCAACACATCTGTGGAGGAATGTATGTTGGTGATTTTTGTCTGTCTGATGTCCATATAGTTGGGTTAGTCATATTTCCTACTTGAACATCTCAATTAAACTAACTTTTAATAAAATTATCCTGCAACGAAATTTTTCTTGTCATACTGGAGTTGAAAATCCACTTTGTGTATGTGTTTGTCTATACAGTATTTCCTTAAAACAAAACAGTTGAACAGATATGACTACCTATACAGTCATATAAGCAAATAGTTAAATGAAAAATTATGCACACGCATATATATATCTAGTGTATGAACCGGTTTCTGTGAACAGTTTTATATTTGGTTAAGACTGAGATAATCAATACAATTAAGAGATTTTTTCCTAGTCTCTCCAACTGTTACACAAACATAGTAGTAGTATTCGTTGTTGTTGTTGTTGTTGTAGACTAGGTAAAGTGATTAAGGTCGAGAAAAATCGATGAATAGAAGTGGACAAAACCTCACCACCTCATTTCAATCAATTCTCGAATGAAAACTAACAACTATAGATTACCGATTAGTTTTTTGTTACTAAACAAACCATATGATGTGTTAGATACACTATACATAATGTAATTGTAAGTAAAATGTTAATTTAACTGTTATCTAAAATAAAAAAGAATAACTGTACAACTATGACAATGAATTCATGTGATGGACCAGGTAGAACGAAAAGCACGACAATTGATAATAGCACTAATTAACAAGAAATTGGAATAGATGTGTTTGTTAGAAGAACAAGAAGTTGTTACTATTTATGACAATATATGTATGCTGGTTCTGGTTCTTGATTTGCCTCATCTTACGAACAATATGTGTAACCAGGTTGATTACATGTAGAAGTGATAGGCTTATAGAAGAGTTTCATGCATCTCTTCTGTTGTTATTGTTTTCTTTTAAAAACAATCTAGTTTGATCTCTTGTATTTCACTTAATTGTTATTTCTGTTTCTCTAACTGTTTTATTTATTACTTATAAAGTTTTGATCAAATCAAATTTAATAGTTGAGATCATGAGTTAATTGAAGCGAGATCACTATGGAAAACCTGTAAGCACTGGACGACAATTTCGTTCTATTGTGGGACTTCTCAGCAATGCTTATCCACGGTCCTTTCTCGCGGGATTCGAAGCCAGGATTTATCGGTTCAGTGTTTTAGAGGTTCAGCGTTCTCGCGCTGAGGTGTCGCACAATAGGACGAAATTGTCGTCCAGTGCTTTCAGGCTTTTCATGGTGATCTACCTTTAATTGACTCATGATCTCGACTATTGAATTTACTATAATATCCACAAAAACCGTTTTTGATATAAATCAAATTTAATTTGATAGAGTTTATAGGTATAATTCTCATAATGTTTTGTTGATTACAAATTGATCATTCTACATGAAGCTGCTCAATGTATCTCTTAAATCATTTTAAGTTTTTACCGTAAATGCTCTAATCCTTAATATGCATCAATTAGAGAATTATGCCTTATTTACTAGTGAAGTTCATAGTTATCAAAATACTCAGTATGATCATGAAAATTATCGACTCGGTTCTGAAGTGCACGTTTTCCCATAGTTCATCACTTTGTTTTGGCTTAATGCTTATCAAATATCTCTTTGATGTATTTACAACCTTTGTGTGATGCATATGATTCACTACAATCTCTTCTATCACTTCTTCTTTATAATATAGTTTGAAAATCAATTACTTATGCGTTCAAAGTTGCTACTTTATGACGAACATTTATCTGTTTAGGCTCATCGTTATCAACACAGTCTCCTATTTCAAATCGACATAGATAACTTCACCAAACATAATCTGTTGAACTCATTCTCTAAGGCACCTTTATCGATGCATATTTACAGCTCCGTCATCTCCTCATGTTTACCCTTAGCTCTATCCATCCGTTTTGACATTATCGTTCACTCGATGACTACCACATTTCCGGAATGTTTGATTGTGTTATCGGGAACATAGATTAGATTAGCATGTTCTGTGCAGGATTGTGTTGGTGCATGCCGATTGAGTATTTCTTATCCAATCAGCGCTAGTCGATACTTGGAGGAGACTCTAGAAAAGTCTCATGCAAAATCTATGAAAACACTACTTCCATCTACTTTAGTTCTTTGGGATATAATTTCGTGCTTGTTCAACTGTGTTCTGGTGTGGGGACTTGCTGAGTGAATTGGTATCCAAGATTACTAAACAATAGGATTAGCTGGGCTATAGTAACAGAGAATTATAACAAATTACTAGTAGATTTCTTTTAAACTTGCTTTTTTCCATTTAATTGATCGTGTTACACATTATTTCCACTGATTTTTTATGGACTATTTCCTTGGAAAAAATAACGATTGCCATAACATTATTAGCAAAGATGGATAGTGACTAGCAGTGGAATCCAGGAAACGCGTTTCGTCCCATTCCTGGACTCGTCAGCTGGATATACCTGCATCTCACAGTCGATGTTCACTCTGGGACTTGGACCTAATACCGTTCGCTTCAATAAGAGACTGATCAATCGTAGTCCTAAACACCAAAAGGAAGATTCTAGTGAACAATACCAAGTGAATTTAGACTACCATTACAGTTTACAATTTAATCGAACTGATCGATTAGTTATATAAAAAAATCCCATAATACATTTATTTTTATTATTGCTAATGTTATCCTGTTATTATTTTTTATCTTTCAGATACATGATGAAAGCCTTCCATTTATGCTTAGATCAACTTCGCTTATTGAATGAATAATTCTATTGTTGCTTCATATAATGACTCTCTAATGTATCTTTTATTCTTCATTATTATAATTATTGTCTCCAGTATTAATCATGGTTATTATGTCTGATAAGTCATTATAATCTGTTGGTGTATTTTAAGAGGTAGTATTTAGCCAATCTCTTCTATCACTTCTTCTTTATACTCGTTTTTATTTACTGTTATTATGATTAAGATCTACTATTTCTTTGCTCATTTCTTTACATCTCAGATATTAACTACCTTCAGATATTCTGTGTATTATGTCCTCATGCAATTGTTGTTTACTTTCTCTTCTTTTTTGTTTCCAAAATGCTGTTGTCATGTTTGATTTGATTCAGATATGATGTTGTATACGTATACAAATCTTTTATCTTTACAGTTATGAATGTTTAGACCTTTTAAGATGTTTTTCACATTAGCAATGTAAGGTACGTTTAAAAAGTTTAAACATACAATTTATTCTCTAATTTGATTAATGTTTATCCTATGATTGTTTATCTCTTTATTCAACCATCAATCCTAACGATCGTGCAACTGACCACACATGAAATACATGTTTCTTTCTGAAATACTAATAGAATCAAGATTCCGTTAAGTTTCTGTCAAAATATCAGTCTTGGTATTGGATACAACATAATGGCACAAGTATTCGAATTATAATTGACTGCCTTGTTACCATCTAATCAATGATAATAATAATAATAATCACTTTATCCATTTTAAGAATGACCATATTAAGTAAATTTCAAATTAACGATATCTCAACTATACCAAAAAATTAAAATTAACTTTTCAGATATTGTCACTGTTAGCTACAAGGAAGGGAAGCGTGAAATGTACTTACCCGAAATTGACTGTTCAGTATTCTGGTCAAAATGTACATTTAAATAGAAACTTCTGTATCCAACTGAGTTCATTCGATTTTAACCATCTCCTTAAATTGTCCACACCAAAATATACTAACCAAGACTTTGGATAACGATTCAATCACTAAAAAATTGATTACTTGTATCACTTGGTCGTAATTCTGTACATATTTCGATCCGTTGTTATTAGTTCTTCAACTAAGGTAGCCGACATTTGATTTTCTCATGAAATGAGGGTGACTTATAAAGTTCAACCTGTGAAATTCCTAAAACTCTCCACAAAACCCATTCTGATAATAATCAAGTGCTCACTAGTGACTGACTTCAGGAGAAACTTCTGGAGTTCTAGTGAGAAGCCGTTACCAGTGGAGTTCAACCAGGTCTGTTGTGAGATAACAACTCACTGAAGACAATGGTGTACGGTGGCGCAACTTCGTGGATTGGTTGAAGTTAGACATTAACACCGTTGGATGCCGGCTCAGTGGTCTAGTGGTTAAGTGCGAAGCCAGTAGGTCCTGGGTTCGAGCCCCGCGTGGTGCGGGATCGTATATGCGCATTGCTGAGGAGTCCCATACTAGGACGAGACAGCCGTCCAGTGCTTCCAGGTTGTCCATGGTGGTCTAGCTTCAATCAACTCATGATTTCAACCTGTGAAATTTATAAAGTTTCATTGGTCTCGGATATTTGGAACAAGTCACTGATAATTCCTAGACCTAGGTGTTGTTTTCGTTTACACTTGTGATGAAACCTACCTTAAAGTAATACTATTGTTTTCACCCTGCAAATGTAGACTTTCCCTCCATACTACGTAAGCTGTTTTAGAAGTCTGTAACAGAACAAATGGAAATAGTTTGTGTTTTTGTAGTGATAAAAAAATAGAACGTAGTTTTCATTTCTTTCCATTTACTAATCGAAATTTCCAACCTGGCTGTAGTACATTCTCGACAAATCGACATAATGCTCAATCATTTATTGTCGGTTTTCTGTACATTACTATTAACTTGATGACAAGTAAATTACAACTATTAATTTTCAATTACATATTGATGTTCTAGTATCCCTAAGTGAACAGTTGGGAAAAAAAATATGCTGGAATGAAAATTATTAAAGCCAGTTCGTATTAACACATACATAATCGAATTATCTGAAACAATTCGACGGGTTTATTGTTCAATAATTGGACTAATGTGATCTGAAGATAGGTCAGTTTGTATTCATTTCCTATGAATCGTCGAAGGTTCTTTATTTTTTTTTTGTTAATAGGAAATAGTACTATTTGTTCAATCTCTTTTCAACCGATGTTTTCACCTGCCTAATGTTTACACGGTGAGACTATAATTTATGGACGACCTTTGAACGAATCTTACGTGACCTTAGGAAATGTTAGCCAATCAGGAAACAGTAAGTATAGAGAAAAATTCTATTATACAAAACCAACTAATTAAAGTAGATACGCTACTTTTACATGGTTCAAAAACTTGTCAAGGTTAGAATGAGGTTCTAAAATCGTCACGAATACAGTAGAGGAAATCATCCATGATATAGTCGCAAATACTCTCAGCCTCGTCCACATAGCTTCATTACCTTTTGTGTGCACTCCGGTAGATGGGTCCTTAAAATGCCACTTGTGGATAACGACACGATGCACATAAATATATGTATCCATCTGTACGCCTACCAAACAACCGTACATATTGTAGTACCCGGGTGTAGTCAGTGTTACTGGTGCTTTTATTATCCAGTTCGCATCAACCGTCATAATTTGCTTAAGTCCCAATCTGGGTAGAGCGGAAAAATCCTATTCTAGCCTACTTCTTCCTCCAACACATGTTACATCAAAAGATAACATCATGGCAGTCTATACAAGTCATTTGATTACCATAATCGCAAACAAGAACATTTTAGTAGTCCCGTTTGTTGTAGTCACTCAATTATCACGTTTTCTCCAAAATTCGCTGTGAACCACACTAGTCCGACTAAACATTCGCCCAGGTTGTAAGCAACAAATCAAACTACTAATAAACTGAACTAAAAATCATGTAACAAGCGCGAAAATTGACGTGATACGGAAAAAATGCTGTTAATAGCTGATAACGAGACCCAAGATGTTCGACAATGTGTAACACGCGCGAAAACCGATGGCTTGACGTCCAGGCCGGTCGTACAAGGGCACGGGATAGTGAAATTGGCGCCGTGACCTTGAAATTCCTGAGACGCTTCTGATTGGCTCGTGTTGTTTGTTCTTGATCTATCTACATTTGTATTGCATGACTATGCCATTTTTATGAATCCCAGTTAACTATATGAAAAAGCAAATAAAGCGAAATTTAGAGCTAACAATGAAAACCTCAGTGAAAATTGTATTTTCACCTATTAAACAAACTATAATATGTACGAAAATATTTCATACCACAAAGATACAGAACATTGAAAAGTAGATGTTCTTTAAAACCTACGGACATGTACTAAATCTCTAGGAAAATAAAAATGGTTAGTCGATTAGAAAACCAAAGATTGTATTACCAAGTAATTTAGAGTATTTCTAAGCTGACTTCGTTATGATTTTTTTTAATGGCGCCTGTTTAATTATCCATGTTTGTATTATACACTCCGTGGTTGTGTATTTTTGTTTATATGATGCAATATTAATAAGACATGGTAAATTGACATGACAAACTCGTGAATCCATGTATGAATTCATTATAATAACACACGACCTGCTTACAGACATATCTGAACGAGTCATTTTTATTATAAACTTGTTTATTTAACTTAACAGAAAGCAAAATTTACAATGGATCAGGCAACTGTAATCAGTAAAAGAAGCAGAATATTTCTTTATAAATATATTTGGTATGGTTATAGAGTGTCATTTACATGTCAATAAATCAACTAACTTTTGACGGCGTTTTAATATACTTCGTAAACTTGGAACTACTTACATGTGCTACTACTGATCTGCAATTTCCAGATATTGAGATTTATTTGCCGGTCTTTATTTTTAATTAATCTGGCAATGCTTTAACTTGATTGGATGGATACTATTATATAATCTTATTTCAGTGGCACGTCTAAAATCAGTCATTCTTCATATCACAGTGACATAGCGATAACTTACATCTGTGTTCAAGGATCATTCCGTTTTTATATGCTCAGTTATTATCGCATCATTCTTTTTGAGATCATTGCGAAAGAGTAACACTAGCAGGAAACTCTAAACAAGAGTTCCATCACCTGGACTACATTTCTCATATTCATTCAGATATACAACACCTGGTGTTGTTGAGTTAGTCGCATGTACCTTTTCGGTGTTAGGATCCTTGGACCGTTTTCAACTGTGCTGAATTAATTCTACTTTCAAAAGATAACGACCACCACCGTAAGTTGTCATGAACAATTATGTAACTTCAATCTAAGTTGGCTGGGACGAATAAGATTTCTTTGATATTCGTCATTCGACTGTTTTAAAATCGTATCGTCAGGGTGTCTTCAGTATAATATGTGATATTTTACGTCCAGAACTTCTGACGAACTCAATGACCTCTTCTGGTCTAGATTAAACTAATTAAATTTTACAAACTGGAAAAATGGATATCAGAGATACTCCGGATTAAGTATTCCTGCAAGAACTTAAATTGGATGATTAAGAGTTGATCGAAAACACCACGGTGAATTTCAAACATTATATCTCAAGTATATATTCGCATTATTATTTTACATTGGGATTATATTTTCTATTACCCTATATTAAGTGGTGAAAATCCTGTGCTTGAAATTGGAAACTCCCGCACCAGCTACCGTGTTTCAGTATTTAAATAAAAACCTACTGCGACCACTAACCTGACTTCTTTCATATGTCAGACGACGGTAACTAACAGACTCTTGAATTTTTCCAGTACAAGTCACGTCTTCCAAGACTCGTTCGTCAATACTTGAAACAGTAGTGATCGTAGGATTATTCTTAGTCACTTTATGGTGAGCCCTCATGCACCGGCTAGATGACTAGCTCCAGGGAAGTTAGAGCGCTATTCATGACCTCTTTCTAAAAAAGCATTTGCTGTCTTATTCCGGTCCGAACCACATACAATTTGTTTGAGACTAGCGTCGGCTCTTTTAAAGCTGCCA